CGAGACTCACCCATTTCTCCTTGGGAATCCTTGAATTCCTGTTGTTGAGCCTCGATCTTCACTGAGGGCCAGTCATCAACTGTTTAAGTGTTCAATTATCAATAAGCTGAAGTCTGTGGAAGGCCATAATGGCCTTGCTTTAAGTGGTTCACTGCTCTCGCAGCTCACCACGCTGTCTCTGCCTCTGCCGCCATCTTGGATCTCCGAGTTCCTTATTTTTCAATGCAGCACAGTATTCCATTGTGTGACTATACCAGAGCTTCTCTATCCATTCGTTTTTGATGGGCACTTAGGTTGTTTCCAACTCCTTGCTATTGTGAACAAAGCTGTAATAAACACGAGTGTGCATATATCTGCTTGGCTGTTGGTTATGGTCTCTTTGGGGTATATTCCCAGTAGTGGAATTGCTGGGTCAAATGGCATCTCTATTTGCCACTTTTTGAGAAAGCGCCATACTGCCTTCCACAGTGGTTGAAGCATATACATTGTGGTTTTTTAATACAATCTTTCATTTACATCATCTCAGACAATCATTCATATAGTCTGTTTTACATTTTTTCCCTAATAGTTTATTTACAACATCCAAATACATTTTTTTCACACCAGATCCTTCCCATTTCCCTCACACCTCTACCCATCAAATTGTTCAACCCCATGAGTAACCCTCACCCCTCTGCTTCCACCCTCCCCCACCCCTCGCTTGGATCTTCATACTCATACTAAAATAATGGTTTTATACAATATCTGTCCTTATGGGACTGAGTTAGTTCACTCAGCATAATGCTCTCCAGATCATCCCAAGTTAGGTAGTAATTTACAAAATCATTGCACAGCCTCTCTTTCTTGATAAGATCAAAGGATTACTTCAACAAACCAGAGTAGTATAATCATGTGCAAAGTTATGTCTTTGTGATTTAAAATCTTCCTTAAACTTTTTTTATTTTTTAGGTCAGAAAGGCCTCCTGACACCATGTTACAGTGGTCAACAGCCATCTGGGGAGTTTGGACCTATCAACCCTATTGTGAATACAACTTACAGCTTCTTGTATAAATTTTTCAAAGAAATCAGTGAAGTGTTTCCAGATCGATTCATTCATTTGGGAGGAGATGAAGTAGTCTTTAACTGCTGGTATGATAATCCTTTAAAACCCTTATTATTTCTAAAACCCATCCACGTGACACAGGTATGGGTAACGCCACATAAAAATGGGGGAAGGAAAGTAACATCTCTTCTTGTAAGGGCTTAACATTTACAACACACTCCTGAGATGGTGGATTTTGTAAAATATATGTTTCGTCCTAAACCAAGGAAAAGCGTAAGGCAAAAGAATCCAGGTGCAAATGGAAATGAAAATTCAAAAAGGGGCTAAAAAAGGTTAAAGAAAAATGTTTTAGTGACAGTAGTCAATGAGTTGAATGAAAAGAATTTTTCAAATAAAAATGCTCTTTGCAAATAGCAGTCAACGAAGAAGAGGTAGCGAGCAAGGAAAGGAGCAGCTTCAAAAAACTCTGTTTGCGGGGAGCTCTGGTGGCGTAAAGGCAAGAAGCTGCACTGCAATCCCAGAGATACGCAGTTTGAATCCACCCGATGCTCTGCGGGAGAAGGAGAGGTCATCTCTTCCTGTACCAGTCAGATCCAATTTGACGGTACACACACACATACACACACAAAATAGTAGAATAAAAAAAATTAAAAAACCCCAACAACAAAAAAACCCTGTTTGCAAAAGCAAGCTAAGAGAACATAGTGTGAAAGCGTACTGCAATCCCTAAAAACCTTAATTGCTCTAAATTCGAATAACTGATATTAGAGGGTCTGCTTTAAAGAACAGACTGGCTTTAAAATGTTTAATAAAATTTTAATTATGGCTTTTGTTTCAGGCAATCAAATCCAGATATCAAAGAATTCATGGCGCAAAAAGGCTTTGGCACAGATTTTAAAAAACTAGAATCTTTCTATATTCAGAGGTAAATGACTTGAAAGCCTACTTGTGTTCTTATTTCATTAATGTAGAAGTCTGGGCGATCATTTACTAGTTCCTTGTTCATGTTTTCATTTTCCCCCCAACCCCTGACAGAGTGCAGATGTTGTGAGCATCACTCAAGAGGGGATGAGTTATGCTCATTGCTTTCTTTAAATTATGAACATAATGATGCGTCTTTTGTAATAACTGTAGACATTCAGGAGGTCAGTCCTGGTTCTGCACGTTCAGTCCTGCGTGATCGTTACCTTGCTTTGCTAACCCTTAGCAATATTTCTTACCCCATGTGTTGTCCTTTATATAGCCAAAGCCATCATGTGGCTGTTTTACGTTTAAAATGACCTACAATCCAACAGCCTGGTGCTTGTTAACTCAATGTGGCTCATGTTCCCTATATCAGAGCATTTTCCTTATGGCACCAAGTCTTACTGGGTGGTGCTCCTCTCCACACTGGGGTCAGGAAACTGTTCTGTAAAGGGCCAGTGGTAAATACCTTTCTCCTTAGCTCTGGCGAACACCATATGGTTGCACTCTTGTTTTTAAACTATTCTAAAATGTAAAAAGCATACTTAGCATATTGGTCATACGAAAGTAGTCTATAGTTGCCAGCCCCAGATCTACACTATTTTTAAGTCCACTTTCTAGTCTTTTCTTGATTAGCTTTTTTTTTCCCCCCAGCGGGGGTGAGGGTGGGGGAGAATAGTATTTTTTTAAATTGTGTAAAGCACATGGCTCTTTATACACACTCTGGTGGTGCAGTCTATGGGGAGTTAAGCTGCTAACACAAAGGCAATACCTCTCTGGTGATACAAATTCACTAGTTGCTCCATGGGAGAAAGATGGGCAGTCTCTTCCTGTGCTATTTACAGCCATGGAAAAGCCACTAGAAGGTCGGTTCTGACTTGACAGCAGTGAGCTAGTATTTGTGAACTAGTTGCCTGCAGTTGTTGACTTGTTATTTTTAAGTGCTATGATGGGGGAGACTATTGTTTCCCTTATCCTGAGATATTTATGAAGCGATTAGAGGTTGCAGTTTGTACTCATCCCTCCACCTCTCAGAGTAGTTGCCTGCCAACTATTTGGAGCCAGTTCTAGCTTAGAGGCAAGCTTAGATCAAGCATTCAGCAAATGACTATTGACATCTCAAACCTTTTTAGGTTCTGAGCAGCATGTTAGAAAGAAAGAACTGCTGGATCTGCTATAAAGTTATGCTGTACTGAAAGACCACCCACCTCAACATTGCAAGCAATCCTCAGCAGAAATTGTGTGCATTTACTGTTAAAATGTGATCTGAAACACTTTGTCATTCTTTCCTCCCTCTGCTGCTAGGATTGTGGACATGGTTACAATTTTAAACAAGAACTCCATAGTCTGGCAAGAAGTTTTTGATGATGCTGTGAAGGTGAGAAATACAGAGACTATCTGATTCTGATATATGTCTCTAACATTCTGTCATCAGAGACAGAAAGAACCCAAGTGAATCTGCCCTTAACATAACGCCTGGTAACCTAGCCTTCCACTCACGCTTGTGTTGTTACATGCCATCAAGTTGCCTGAGTCTCATAGCAACCCTATGTACAACAGCCCTAAACCCTGCTCTATCCTGTACCAATCTTATTGTTTCTGTTACACCTATCCACATGACCCCAGTCACTGAATCAATCCATCTCAGCGAGGGTCTTCCTCTCCTGCACTGTTCCTCCATCCTCCCAAGTATGACATCCCTAAGGACTGATCCCACCTTGTAACATGTCCAAAGTTTGGCAAAGCTTCAGAATTCTTGCCTCCACAGAGCAGTCTGGTTTAATCCTCTCCAGAACAAACCTGTTTGTTCTCCTAGCAGTCCATGGTATATTCAATACTCTTCTCCAGCACCACTGCTCAAAGGCATCAACTCTCCTATCATCCCTAGTCATTGTCCAGCTCTCTGATGTATAGCAAGTAATTGCAAAGACCATGGCCTGTAACAGGCGCACCTTAGTCTCCAAACTGATAGCATTGCCCTTCAGTACTTTGGAGAGATCTCTGACAGCAGACTTTCCCATTGCAGTATGTCATTTAATTTCCTGGCTGCTGGTACCAAGAGTGTTGATTGTAGAGCCAAGCAAACTGAAGCTGTCAACAATCTCAATCTCATCACCATCCATCATGATGTTACCAATCGGCCCAGTGATGAGAATCTCTGTTTTCTTGATGTTGAGCTTCAATCCATATTGAAGGCTGCAGTCCTTGACCTTCTGCAGCAAGTGCTTCAGGTCCTCCTCACTTTCAGCAAGCAGTGTTGTGTGATTTGCATCACACAGATTGTTGATGAGTTTACCTCCAATCTTGATACCACATTTCTCTTCATAGAGCCCAGCCTCCTGGATATCTATTACGCATATAGATTGAAAAGATATGGAGATAGGACACATCCTTGGTGCACACCCTTCCCAATTTTGAACCATGCAGTGTTTCCTTGCTCTGTTCTGATGACAGCTTCCTGGTCCAAATATAGGTTTCACATTAGCACAATCAAGGCTTCTGAGATACCCATTCTTCTCAGAGTCAGCCACAGTTTATTGTGATCTACACCGTCAAATGCCTTTGCATAGTCAATGAAACACAGATAGACATTCCTCTGGTACTGTTGTGTTAGGGTAGCTGTTTCCTAGACCCAGAGACAATATGGTGTTTGCATCCTTTCTTCCATTTACTCCACTCCTTGGGGCCTCTTCCTTCTCTTCCCTTCCCCTGCCTATCTTTCATTATTAAGCACATGCTGATGTATTTTGAATTATGTGTTTTCAAAAGGGTAGAATAGATATTTTTTAAATGAGTATCATATATTGTTTTGTACTTACAGTATCTGTGTAAACTTTCTTTCTGAAGTAGTCAAGGTTAAATTTTCTCGGGGCAAATGGGAATTTGCAAGCCTAGTTAGCAGTACCGCCCTGCCATAGAGGTTGGTGAAAACCTTACTGTTCCAGAGCAAAAAGGGGGTTAAAATGGCAAGCTCAGCCTGGGTCCACTGCAACACCTGGTGTCATGTGTAGGTAAAAGTTAAAGATGTGATCCTGACGTTGATGAAACTTTAAGTCCCCAGTGCATTTGCAGGGAGCTCTGGCAGTATTGAGCTGTGCACTAACCCAGAGGCTGTACCTGGAGCTTTGAATGCACCAGCGGCTCCAAGGGAGAGAGATGGGAAGTCTTCTCCCATTGCAATTTACAGCTCCAGGACCTGACTGGGGGGGTCACCAACTCAACAGCAGCGAGTGAGGTGCACTTGGTACTAACTCTTGAGGGGAAAGGAAGAAAAATGTGTATTTCCTTGTTCAAAGATCTTATTTTCTGCAGGGCCATGGACTTTCACTAATCTTCTACAGAATCTACTAAACCTACTAAATACTACAATTTGTCTTCCTCAGCTTCAGCCAGGAACAGTAATTGAAGTATGGAAAGGAGCTAATTATCCTGAAGAACTAAAGGCAGTAACGTCCGCTGGCTTTCCTGTAATCCTGGCTGCTCCTTGGTACCTCGACTTGATTAGTTATGGACAAGACTGGGGAAAATACTATAAAGTGGAACCTCTGAATTTTCCTGGTAAGGGAAGCAACCCCCACTACCTTCATTTGTTAGTTACTTCTGACTACTGCCCTTTCAGGCTCGATCCTTGACTTTAAGATACTGCATGTATATGTCTATTTTTTTCAAAGGCTCAGTATTTTTTTCCCCTGTGATTTTAACAAAAGTTTATAGAAAAGTTGGATTTTCTTTCCTTCATTGTTGCACATCCTCCCTCCCGCCAATATAATTTTAAACTTTGTCACAGGCCTCTTGGCACTCACTTTCCACTTTATGAAGATGTCTGTCTGCTTTAGAAGACTTCATTTTTGGGGAGATGAGCAGTGGAAGGAGTGATCCAGAGGTAGAGCTGAGACCCTCAGAAACCCCTGCATTAAGTTCCAATTTGCCATTTTGTCATCATGCTTTAGTATAAAATTTTCCTTTGAAGAAACGATTTTATGGTTTAACACAATAGTTTGAAAACTGTAGTTGTCATTAGGTGCCATCAAGTTGACCGTGACGCACAGTCACCCTATCAACAACAGATCTGAACCTTGTCCGATCCTGTGCCAACCTCACGGCCTGTCATGCTGGATCCTGTGCCAGCCTCACGGCCTCTGTCATGCCGGATCCTGTGCCAGCCTCACGGCCTCTGTCATGCCGGATCCTGTG